ACCTGCAATATATGCAGTTAGGTTTACCCTATCTGTCGAAATATCAAATATTTTGGCATGTCCTGGAACAGGTATTTTCCATCAGATAAACATTTATTCTAAATAAGGGTTGTAGCAAGCATATGGTTACAGATAATTTTATGAATAAACTGAGCTACACACCTCTACAAGAAAATATGATGTTAAAGCCCCTTAATTTATAAAGAATAAATTGAATAATTTTGATTTACATAGAAGATACTGAAAACCTTTAAAATGTGAAAGAACAGCCTCTCCAAAAACTTTAGTTTCGTTTTGTTTTTGTTTTGTTTTGTTTTTTTTGGTGGAACCAGGGATTGAACTCAGGCTCTTGCGCTTGCCAGGGAAGCACTTATTCCACTGAGCCATCTCCCCGGCCCTCCAAAAACTTTAAAACACTGACACCTGTCGTGCCTGTACCTGTCCCCCAGTTAAATAAACTGGCTTACTGCTCTGTGAGTCTACAGAGAAGCCGACCCTTCACAATACAACTTCCAGTCAGCTTTCCAGATGCTGGCCCATAAAAATGAACATGATATGACATACCAAAATCCAAGCAAAAACATGATAAAAACAATGTGAAAGGTCAAGGGTAGTACTTGTCTATAATTCCAGCATTCTGAGAGGCTAAGGCAGGAGGATCACAAGTTCAAGCCTACTGTGGGCAATTTAGGGAAACCCTGTTCCAAAATGAAAAGTAAAATGGGCATGGTAGTGCATGCCTATAATCCCAGCACTCAGGAGCCTGAGGCAGGAGGATTGCCACAAGTGTGAGGCCAGCCTAGGGTACATGGTGAATTCAAGGCCAACCTGGACTGCATAGTGAGACCCTATCTCAAATTTAAGAAAATTTAAAAAATAAAAGGAACAGGGATGTAGCTCAGTGAGAAGGATCTGGGTTCAATCTCCCCCTCTCTTGGGGGGCGGGGTAGAAAAAGGGAGAGAGAGAGAGACAGTGAGCAAGAGTGAGAGCACAAGAGAAAACGAAGTAAATGAACAAATTAAAAATGTCAGGCTGGGTATGGTATTGCACGTCTGTAATCCCAGCATGCAGGAGGCTGAAGCAAGAGGAGTATCATGAGTTCCATGCCAGCCTGAACTGCATAGCAAGACCCTGTCTCAAAAAAAAAAAAAAAAAAAAAAAAAATCAAAATCCATGTCCTCTGAGATAAAGGAAGATATGTACCAAGGTTGAACTATGAGAGGAGAGGGTAAAAAGGCAAAGCACTAGGACAAAGAGAGGAGGGGATAAACAGGACAAGGGAAAAGTGGAGTAGTAGTAATGGAGAGCTACAGGGGTAGAGTGAGGAAGAGGGAAGAGTGAGCAATCAGAAGATATGAGTTCGCTCTTGGGAATTAAAATTTTGATTTATAAAATCAAAGTCCAATCAAAAGGTAAGGTGAGTTAGTCTCACAGAAAGCAAATGAAGTTATACAGAGCTATTAGTAGGAGAAAATGTCAATTAAGCCAGATCTAAACTTTTTGTCAGAAAGTAAGGGGGGAAAAAAACCTGAGAGAATTATCAAAAAAGATAGGGCCGGTGAGATAGCTCAGCAGACTAAGCACATGCTTAGGCAAGCACAGAGACTGGGGTTTGATCCCCGGTACTGCATGCTGTGCTGGCCCTGCCCTTGGGTGTGCTGAACAGGTGCCCAAGTCCGAGCATGGTGGCGCATGCCTGTAATCCCAGCATTGTGGAGGCTGAAAACAGGAGGGTTACTATGAGTCCAAGCTGTATAGTGAGACCCTCTATCAAATACACACACACACACACACACACACACACACACACACACGTTATGGACCAAGTGTATGTGAGTCCCCCAAATCATCGTCAAGCCCTAAGCCCAAGTGTGACAAGAGGGTTGCAGCCTTGAGGGAGTCATCAGGTTCTGATGAACACATGAGGGTAGACTCTCCATGGTGGGATTAGGGTTCTTACAGAAAGAGACAGGACCTTCTACCAATACCATATACAAAAAATGAGCTCAAAATGGGTCACAAATCTAAATGTAAAAGCTAAAACTAAAGTCTTTTACAAGAAAACATAGGGATAAACTTTATTATTAATCTTGAGTTTGGCAAAGATTCTCAAATATGATACTTAAAGCAACAAGAGAAAGGATATAAATTAGGTACCAACAAAGAAATGTATTTGCTTCAAAATACATCATCAATAAACTGAAAAGAGAGCCCATAAAAATACAAGTATTTGCAAGTCATATATCTGGAAATACATGAAGAATTCTTAAAGCTCACGAATAGATAACTTCATTAAAAATGAGAAAAAGATTGGATAGAAGCTTCTCCAAGAAAATTATATATGTGACCAATAAGCACATGAAAGGAGCATTCAATATCATAAGCTACTAGGGAAATGCAAATAAAACTACA